TATTATAAATTCCCCAAATTCCACCCGCTTACTCTAACTTCTGTTAAAAGTTTCCCAATTTGCTTTCCTTCCCCTTCACTTTGGGTTTGGTTGGAAAAGGGCCTTGGCGCCAAAACCCAAAGGACTTTTTGAAAAACGCGGAGTCCGTCAAAATTTTGAAGTTTTTCTGAAACGTCAAAAAAAAATTCATTTTTTTGGCCTATTTCTACAAATCAGACTCAACCGTTGATAACGGTTTTTTGTATTTTAAAGTTTTTTGACTAAATCGATATGAAATTCAACAGTAGCATTCACGAACTTCATAGTGTGTTCTTAAAGTCCCCTTGTTTTCCTTTTCTGAGTTTTAACAACAAATCCTGTGCCTGACGCGGAATTTGAACCGAAGTCATCTTTTAGGTGTATAAACACGCCTACCAAATTTCGTTGATTTAGCACAATTCTTTTTGGTGTTGAGATTTTTATTTCCATCGGTGTATTTTATTAATGGAGATAAATGAAACAAAATGAAGTTATATGATAAAAGATATATCTAGCTCAAAGCAAACTACTTCAAACTAGTTGAATTTAGGTCTTAATATCAAGATAAAGGTTAATATAAGCGGCCCTGGTTGAAATCTCTGATACGAATGAGGAAACTTCTCTTTGAAACAGAGGGACAAATATGAAACTTCCCTAATAACCATGATTCGAAATACCCCCCTCGGGAGGCTCACCTTCTTTAGGTGGTAGGGGGTTCCAATCCCGAGGTCCCCTGGGATTTTCCTTTTCCCAAGGGTTAACATTTTTTGGTAAACACGGACTTCACAAACCCCGGGGTACCCTAGTGATCCTTCTCTATTTTCGACCCTTTCTTTTTCAACTTCGTTTTTTTTATTTTTTCCCCCATCCAGACCTCAGACCATATTACAAATGAAATAGTTCAAATTTATTTTTTTCAATAAAAAAAACTAGCTTTTTTCTATTAAATATTTTGGTTTTTTTGTATTGCGTTAATTAATTTTTTTTTTCGTATTTTTCCCAATTTTTTTGATTATGTTGTTTATTTTGTTCTTTAACACGTTGGTTAAACCCCTTTTTGCCGTGTGCGGCGCCCCGTAAAGAGGAAAAATGGTGTTCGGGGATCCCTGTTTTCCCCTTTTGGCCCCAACCTTCAGGGGGGGAGGGGTGGCGGGGACCCGCCCCGTCAATCGGCTGGTGGTACCCTCATCGGTGTCCCCGAAGAAAACCGCGAGAGTTATTTGGGGAAAAAGGGGGGGTTTGGACCCCCCTTGTAGCATTATATTCTGGGGTACCCCCAGGTAAGCGCAGTGCCTTTTTTTAGATGACGACACTGCCCCCCCCGTTGGACTCCGTGGTGGGTGGGGACGCCAGGGGCAAAAGGGTTTTTCTCCTTTATGGATCCAATACTGCTGTGCCCGGGTAAACCAATTTTTCCCAACCCAAATTACCAGATTTCGACTCTACCAGATTTCTTTTTTTAATTTTTTTTACCGAATAATGAAAGGACAAAATTGCCTTTTTTTATACAGAAACCGTAGGGAAAAGTGTTCAACCTAAATCTGTTACAAGATTAAGATCCCGGGGATTTTCTAATTTAAACACCTCTCCGTACAAACAAATTTTTTCCTTCCAAAAAAAATTTCTCACCTGTAAAAAAAGTCCACATAAAACCTTTAATTTGCCGTGGTGTTTTTTAACCTACCTGCACCACCCCCCAAGCGGAAACTTTTAGGGGTTCTCCGATCAGGGTGTTATTCAGGTTTGAAGCCTAAAAAGATACAACTGTTATTGGACCAAAATTAATTTTTTAAATTTCAGCGCCCCCCACTACTCCAAACCATTAAAACTGGCTATTTGAATTGTAAAAACCCCAATACATTCCGAATCCTCTACGCTGTTTCTGCCGAGGTTCTACACCTCAGACTGCCCTGTAGAGGACAATTGACGGCTCTAGATATACGTTGGACATGCATACCGATTCAGTCTGGAGCTTAAAAAGCGTCAATTGTTCACAGCCAATTCCGCCGATTCTAAACTTTGTCCAAAATGGAAAACAGAAAAAAAAATCCAAACAATTAAAACAAAAAAGAAACATATATTTAGAAGCCCCCAAAATTAAAAGGCACACAACCGTCTCAAACTTATACTCAGGCTACCAAATCCATAATTTAAACAATTCCCACCAAAAGAGAAAAAAATTACAAAAGTAAAATGCCCACCTTTAAAAAATTTCTCCAACCCTTTCATCCCTTCCTAAACCAAATACATCTACCACCCGGCTGTTTCCCCATCATCCTCTCAACTCAAGCACAACTTCTTCCTTCCACATCTACAGTGTCAATATCAGCTACAGTGTCAAAGCCTGAACCACCCATTCCTATATCAACGCTTACCCCGAATAATATGTTCACCCTGATTGAATCTCTTCCTCAATAATATCCACTTCCTCATATCCAACCTCGATATTCAACCCCCCACATCCCTACAGTACGGTTCCCCAAAAAAATTTAAAACCCGTATAAGAAAGCGAAAAAAAAATTTCTTAAAAAATTTAAAAGGAAAAATAGAAAAAAAGATGGTCCAAGCGGAAAACCAGCTTCAACGAATACACAACGGATGAGGAAGACATGATTACATATGACGTTAGGAAAAAAACTGAACCTGATTCGTTGAAAAAAAACGGGGGAAACAATATTGAGAGGATCGTTACTATTAACACCACGAGAAGCAGAAAAAGACATTTTTCTTTAAAACTTGTCGAACTTGGTGGTAAATTTCCCCCCCCAATCTTTTTATTTATTTGTTCAGATTGACTTTTATATATATTTTGAGATTTTACCTTTTTTAACTAGAATATATTACAGCTTTTTAATGGTTTTATACTTTTAATGTTTTAATGATTGTTCGGTGCAGTTTAGGCAAAATTGTCTCTTGCGCCAATAACCCCAACATTCATTTTATTCACTCCATACGACTTGGTGGGGTTTTCACCCACCCAAAATTTAAATGTTTTTTTTGTCAAGTTTTATTCTTATTTTATATATTTCACCGTATTTTGTCTTTTATCAACATTTTTAAAATCTTTTAATGTTTTTTTTTTAAAAATGTTTGGGAGTTACCGGTTCTTGCGCCATTAAACAATACAATCACTCACTCACTCACTCATGATTCGAAATACCATACGCCAGAAAATAAATATTACCAGAAAACCATAGCAATAAGTTAAATATGTGATTAAAAGGTTCTACTCTACTAAATTCCCTGGAAAATTATATCCACTATTTCAGAAATGAATTTGGAACTTCATTTTATGTCATATGCGATAGGGCAATAGCAGAACTATCCCGAAGACCTGAGATTTATGGAACAGTTTTAGAACACTTTACTGTATTTTTTGAGGAGGGATTATTACCTGAAATTACGAAGAACGCCACACACTAAAGGAAATTTACAAACACGATATTGAATCTCTTAATTTTGACGATATGAATTGGATTAATTTCTACTTTTTTAAAAAGAAAACGAAGATACAATGAAGACCCCACTAGAAAATTGTCGAGTTTTGCAAGAAATATTCTAATGTAGAGATTCTTTTGAAAATACTTTAACAATACCGGCATCGAATGCATCAGGTGAGAGATCTTTATAAGTTTTAAAGCGTGTTAAAATTATTCAAGAAGTACTATGGGAAAGAAGACAAAATGTTCAACATGACCATATTATACATAGAACACAAGATGTTTCGGACAAAATAGATATGTCATAAATAACTAATGAATTTTCCAGAGAAATCTCTCTCAAGAAGCAGTTGTATCGAAAGGTCAGCGAATCATTTCACTTGTTAAGTTTTTCGACTCTTGAAGCCATTGGCCTCAAACATTTTACCGCCAGGGGATTCCAACTAACTTAAACCACCCTGTTCACACTCTGTAGAACGATAAATTCAGAATATGATATTAATGTTAGAACACTTTTCAATTTCCTTATGTGGTCTGAGTTTGGATCTGGCTTTTCAATTCCTACTATGAGGGCTATTTTTAAAGTAAGGACCGTTGGCGCGTATAGTTCTCTAGTTCGCACGCACGCCACAACGAGTCTCTTCGTCACTGACCTGCATCCTTTGCGAACACACTCGTACCATTTCCAGCTCTATAGCAGTCGTGTAAGATTCGCTGTGCGTCTTTAAAATGTTTAACTTGATTGAATCGCCCGCCAAGTGTGAGATACGGTCTGTTATTCGTTTTTTGGCTGCGAAAAGCATGTCGGCTGCAGACATTCATCGCCAGATATCAGAAGTTTAGGGCACAGAAGCAATGAGTGGACAGTAAAGTTAGAAAATGGGTCAGGGAGCTTAAAGATAGGAGACGAATTCATGACGAAGAACGCTCATGCCGGATCTCTGTCATCACTGATGATGGTTTTGGACCATGCACTACACAGCCCGACCTGGCTCCGAGCGATTTTTAACTTTTCTGGTACCTCAAACACAGTCTTGGAGGGAAGTGCTTCAGTGACAACGAAGAAGGTTAAACGGCCGTGAGCTCTTGGCTGTCCAACCAGGTGGCAGACTTCTTTGAAGAGGATTTTCAAAACCTAGTTCTAAGGTATAATAAGTGCATTAATAAACCCGGCAACTATGAGAAAAACAGGTAAAAGTATGTACAATCCTAAAATAAAGGTTTTTGAAACAAAATATTATCGTTATTTTTTTTTTTCAAACAAAAGGACCTTACTTAAAAACAGCCCTCGTATTAATCTACTATCTCCCTATGTATATTTATTTATATATATCTTGATCACTTTTTCAATCGTTAGTAAAATACTTTCTATCCATCCATTCAAGTTCAAATACATATTTTTTAAACTTGTAGTGGATGACACTTGATGTTAGTACAGTTTTTTCAATTATTAATTAATTAATTAAATTAAGAAATGAATAAATAGTATTAAACAGAAATAGTACTCCAACAGCATATATAGAAAGGAAAATCGTTCGCTATGTCCTTGTAACGCAATGAATAGCGAGTTGGACTTCTAATGCAAAGGTCGTGGGCTCAAATCCCACCTGGGATGGCCTAATTTCTAAAAATTCATTTCTTTTTTACTATCCTATTTTATTGGAATAATTAAATTAATTAATAAATAGCAACAAACTAACACAAATAGTCGCAAAAACCTATATAGAAAGGAAAATGGAAAATTGCAAGAAAAATCGCTTTCTATTTTGTTACTTAATAGTGTGATTCTTTCATATGTATATACATATTTTTATATTAGTTGTAACTATTTAATAAAAAGTAACTAAAGAGTAAAATTTTTCTTTGTTGACCTATGTAGAAATTGACTTAATTTTTTTTAATATTACTTGTTTAAAGTTAAAAGACATATATGTACATTTCTCTCAGTTTTAATGCTTATTATAATCGTTTTTCTTTTCCATGGTAAAATTCCTTTTTTTTTTTAAATAGCCCCTTTTACCCCCGACGAATAAACTGAAGGTTGGTTTTGCCCCCTCTTTATAACGGAGAGAAAACATTCTCTAAACTAAATTGCCAATTTGACTTCAATCCTAGAATAAAAGGGGGTATATATTTGCTGGTCAAAAAGTGTAGAAGTAGAAAGACAATAAAAAAGCCCTTATTACCCAGAAACTTAAAAATAAATGTTTTATACTCTAAGCATTGTTTCAAAGCAATCTCTTCTTTTATGAGACAAAACCGTTTGCTTGTCCAGTTCAGAAAAGACTCTTCAATTTGCATATTATTTAGTTGAAAATATACGAGTAACGTAGTTTTTAATTCGTCAAGTACTCTTCAAATTTTTAAGTACCAAGGGGAAAAAAAGTCACTCAGACGTAATAAAATATAACGGTGAAACAAAAGTTTGGAATTGTAAGTATTTAGCAGTCTATGATACAGTTTCTCCTCTCTGTAGTTTTTATTTTTATTGATTGTGCTTCCTGGATCATATATTTTATTTCTTTAAATTAGAATGAGATACAAAAGAAGAATAAAACAATAAAGCCGATTCCTTGTTTTATGTATAGTGGATTTGCTTTTTTTTTATTGCTACAGTTAAAAGTTACTTCCTTTCCCCCTTTTCTTTTACCTTTTTTTGCATTATGTGTTGCAGTTAGTCAGTTTATTGTAAAAGAACTTTGTAGGATATTTGTTTCATGTTTATAGCTGGAAAAAATAAGACTTTTTGGAACATAAAAAAAAATTAAAAAGCCAAACACAACTAATGTAAATAAAAGATTTAACTTTTGCTTTTCGCAATGACAAGATCAATTTATCATTTTTTAAAATTATATTTTAAGATATCGGTTTTAATTTTGAACTATGTGGATGCTTTTTCTTTATTATTGTTATAAGTTTCAGCATCGCAAAAATCAAAAAAATTAATTTTATACCGTATTTTTTCTCAAATCTAACCCCCCTTTTTAAGCGCACCCCTTTCAAAAATTTTTCGAAAAAAGGTCATTCGGGCCCCATCTCGTTTTTAAGGGAAAAATTAAAAATTCGAAAAGGGTTCTTTTAAACCAATCTTTAAAAATTTTTTTAAAAAAAAAAAAAAATTAAAAAAACTTTTTTTTTCAAATGCGTACATGAACCTATCATTACTCTAACCGTCACGGCCACGGTAGCCAAGTGGTATAGGTATCGGATCGTGGCCTGCCTTGTCACGAGTTCGAGCCCAGTACCACTAAAGACCCGCCGTGTAGGGCAGCGATGCATGTTAAATCTGTCGAGAGCTGAAACATCCTCCCGTTGGTGTGGTGTGGTAGTTAAGAGAGGGGGGTGCCAGCTCAGGTGTCGTCCACGTCACTTGACCATGGTTCAAAATTACGTGGTCCGTCGCCAAAAGCCCTCGTGTAGCTGAACAGTGCGACGTTAATATGCAATCAATCAATCTCTAACCCTCACTATCATGTTTTGAAAATGATTCGTCTTTTTCATTCTCACAGCTGCCTTCGGAATTGGTGCCGGCGTCTATATTTTCCCTCACGTTATCGTCTTTCGTTCCATCCAGTGTATTTGTTATGCAACATTATTTTAAAAGTATGTATTGTAGAAGAAAGTAAAAGAACTATTAAAGACACAAGACTATTCAACACTTATAAGCAGAAATTATATCAATTTGCTTACACCATAAGCGTATAGAATTTCTTTTTTTACCCCGATGGACAGGCCTGGTTTTAATATATTAAAAGATAATTTTTGGGTTTTGTGTGTTGAGCGAGATGGACTGTGATTTTGGTTTGGTTATCTTGAGAAAAGAAATATTCAGTTAGTTTTAAAGCTACGCACAGCGCTTAGAAGTATCGAGGAAAATATGAGAAAATTATCGCACAAAATTTCTTTAGAATTTTTTTATTTCATTCACAAAAGAAACTGAGTTCTATTGAAAGAACTTTTGTAAAAATCTACGATTTCATATCGAACGTAAATCTAATTTCCATTTTTTTTTATTCCGATAAAACCGTTAAATTTTTTAGGTATGTCTCTTCAATTTCTTTTTTATTAAACTCGCATAAAAGAATGGGAAAAAGTTATTTTTTCATTCTGTGTGGTTACCATAAATGCCAGATTCTTATCTGAAACTATTCCACGTTGATGCCATAAATCGCAAAGCTACAAAAAAGATTGGAAAGAAAGTGCTACAAGGATTTATTTTGTTAGTGGAACATGCTGTAGAACTGTACCAGAGGGAAATACTTTTACCCATTATATCCCAAAATTTCCCATTTTATAGATTTAGGGTAGGGTATTTTTTTATTCTAGACAGCTGTTATTGGTTATAATGTAATCTTATTACATTAATATTAATCCAAAAAGGCGGCAGTTTAGAAACCTTATTGCAATGTCTTTAAATTTACATTTTTAGGAAAAATTTATTTTTCCCTTTCATTATAGTTTCAAAATTGTCATGCTTGACTTTTTAGTGGGAATATTCGAAAAAGAATGATTTACTTGTATTTGAAATAACGTTACTGTGTGTTTCAGAAAATTTTAAGTAATCTATACATATTCACTAATTGGAATATCGGAATGCATTTGTTTCATCATGAAGCTAGTTTTCCTCTAGAACACGAAACATAGGTCGACAATCACTTACCGTATACGAATTTTTCTTCCAGCTTATTTTCTACACAAGAAATGGCGTAGAAACGATTCGGACAGACAATGTACAACAAAGGTGTCAAATTGAAAGGTTAATTTGGGCCAAACAAAGAAAGTTTACATTTGGCTGCAAAAAATTAATATTCATAGAAACGTTTTTGAATAATACAGTACTATCTGTTTCAAATAATATTCGAACTGTTTTTCGAATGATACAATATAATAAACATAAATAAAAGAGAGCATGAAAAATTTAATGATTACATTCTGATACTTGGCATTTCTTCTCTGCTACTTCCCTATTTCGAGGGAAATTTGGATGTTTTAATATATATTACTGCCAATAGACTGGCCAGGCCGGAAAAATGTTAGCTGAGGTTCCATGAGTTTGACACCAATGGTGTACAAGATAATAGATGATATGTGGAAAAATAACTAGTATGTTAGTTTCGGACAGGATTATACCACAGAAGCAAAACTACTCGTATCGACTTTGGCGTCTTCCTTTTTGGCAATTTGATTGAAAAATATCTCCCCATTTTTACTCGTTTCGCAACATTTTTGAATTCGGTTTATATACCGGTTTCCAATTTTAAGTAAATTCTGAAGAAAAGACGCCTTTTCGGCTTATTCATGGATTGGCTTAGATTTGGAGAATATACAGTCTCTGCAGTGAATTTTATTGTTTTATTTATTGTTCTTAAAACTATACGTAAAATTATATAAGTCGGAAACTTATCACTGTTTAGAAAAAAGGTTTGTTGTAAGCAATCAGAGAAAAATATTATTTTTGCCAAGAAATCAAAAATATAAAAAATTAATGAAAAGGAAAAAAAAATACAATTTAAATTCATGGTTGTTTCGAGTTTTCACTCTTTTTTTCTTTTTGATCTTTACCATTTTATACACACACGCACGCTCGCACACTTATGCTTTTTTTAATGTTATTCTTTATGAATAAATATTATTTATTATGTAATCCAGGTGATCTAGAGGGTGAATTTTCAACTGACCTAGGATATAATTGCCCTTATCAATAGTGTAGTTGCAGTCCAAAAACTTGCTCTTTGCAATGGATACCGGACCACGTAGACATCTTCGGCAATGAACAGGCTGGTACCTTGCCAAGGAGGCCCAAAAGTTCCCTCAATTTTCCAATAGCCTTACCTTTAATGATGCTGATACAACAGCCAGACATAAACTCGCCTCCCATCCAGTTAAGAAAGCACTTAATTCCAGATATTAATTGTAACCGCCTAATTTGAATCACGATAGCCAGATTACGTACAAAACACTTTAAGGTATCCGACTACGTTCGGAACCGTGATTTTGCAAAGCGTATAAATGGATAATATTTATGATATTTAGTGTCACTTAGATTAGAATACATGTATAAAATTGTTTTAAGAATAGTATTACAATAAAAAATTTACGTACAATATTTTTTGATCAAAAAACGAACATAGAATGACCCATTTTCAAAATATTCTCCTTTAGTGAAAAATGCTTCTATTAAAATAATATTTTGCCTGTCTATAGCTCAGACCTCTGTAGAGGCTCAACTAGATTTTTGAAATATATAACTAAGAAGTGGGTTTATCTATGTTTTACGACAACAAAGGGGAGAAATTTCAAGAAAAAAACGCCGATCATTATTTCAATGGGTTGTAACTCTGAAAATGTGAGTTTTTCAAAAATCATAGTTGAGACTCTGTACAGAGATCTGAGCTATATACAGGCAAAATATTATAATCGAAGCATTTTTCACAAAAGGAGAATATTTTGAAAATGGGTCATTCTATGTTCATTTTTTGTCAAAATATTGTACTTAAATAATTTTTTTATTGTAATACTATTCTCTTAAAACAATTTTATATACATTTTCTAATCTTAAGTGACACTAAATATCATAAATTTTATCCATTTATACGCTTTTGCAAAATTACGGTT